AACTAATGATGTAATGTATGGGGATTAACATAAGAATAAAAAATAAATAAATAAAAGAAAAGAGGACACAAAGTATGGTAGACAATAGTATACTAAGTATGACAGTATCAGCTTTAAGGAGAGTTACAATCTCATTAAGAAGACACAGTACAATAGCAGTGCATGACAAATGTTCCCCCAGAGGCATGAGGAATGTTTTGATTTAAGAAGGTTAAGAGTAGGCGCAGACCTTTAATAAAATTGTACATAGAAAGCCATGCACACAAAAGGTATTGAGTAATGCATACACGTTTCAGATGTGGTTAAAAGCCACTTACTAGTTAAATATTTAGCCAACATTCTAGAGAGAATCACATATTACTCTAGTTAATTTGAGAATAAATACAAATGCCCCTCTAAAGTACACTCTGCCCAAGTGCTTTAAAATGACCTTCTGTAGCAAGCCATTATTCAGCAATAATACAGCAATAAAAACTGTGGTGAGTTATGCTAGCTAGAAACCCATGTGCCTGTTTTAGTTTAAATATGAAAGAGTATAAGATATTCAAGATCAAATTTTATTCTTCTTTATTCAAAACCATTTATAAGTGCAGATGAATCATAAGCCTAGAGAAAATCTGGAAGCAATATGCCAAAACCATAGTGGTAATCTCCGAGGGATAGAAATGTGTATATTTTCCGTATTTTTCTTCATATTTATCCTAGTTTTCCAAAGATTTTTAGAAGAATAGATGCTATTTTAAATTATTTAAAAAACAAAATTTTATCATTTTGCTATGTTTTTTAAAATCTCTTATGAAAATGCCTAGTGAATCAAGTAGAAAGAGTACATGACAAAGAAAGTTCTGGAGTCTGGCTAGGCTTGACACACAAAATACGAGATGCTTTGTTAAATTTGAATTTCAGATAAACATCAAATAATATTTTAGTATACATATGTCTCATGAAATTATTTCAGACACACTTATATGAAATTCAAATTTAACTGGGCATTCTATGTTTTTATTTGCTGAATCTGGAAACTATATGCTGCCTAGTTCTATCCCTAGGTGTGTGACCTTAGAGAAGTCAACGATTAATTTAGGTTATCTTTTTTTTTTTTTTTTTAAAGGGAGAGAGAGAGCCGGGGTGGGCGGGTGCGGCAGAGAGAAAATCCTAAACAGGCTCCACACCCAGCGCAGAGCCCAATGCAGGCCTCGATGAGGGGCTCAGTCTCACAACCCTGAGATCATGACCTGAGCCAAAATCAAAAGTTGGGACGCTTAACTGAGCCACCTAACCCAATTAAATGAGGTTATCTTAAAGACCCTTTCTAGTTCTAATGTTTTATGACTCTAACATACAAGATGGCATAGACCACCAAAGACCTGAAAGTGATAGTACATGCTTGTGTTCACATCTTATCAAGGTTTTCTGAAGGCCATATGACATTTTGTATGGCTTTCTTTTCTTTGTTCTTTTGAAACAAACTTCTTCAACTAGACTAGGTATTTTTTTGAGATTTTTTAGAAAATGGGAAATCTCAATTAGGTATGTAGGGAATGCTGGGCACATGCCTAGATCCCTCTTAAGGACCAAGGCACTCATTTCCCTAGCTACTATGCTTGCTGGCTACATATAGCTCATAGCCAAGGGTGTTAACCTGCTCAGGGTAAGACCTCTTGTCCAGGGTAGCCCACATCCAGTGACCACTTCATGAGGAAGCAAAGGACCAGCTCTCTTGCCTCAATTCAGCACCATGACAGCTCCAGAATCCCCTGTGGGATCAGCTAAGGTCCTAGTAGTGACTACACAACAATTAACTTCTTCCACTTATGTTACTTCCTTATAGGTGCTTTTTCCTAGAAAACTCCCCCAATAACCCTCTTGCATACAAACCCTGCCTCAGAGTTTATTCCCTCTGCAGACATAAATTCAAATATGTAAAATGCCAACTTTCTAATAACATAACCGGTAAGATTTGAAATGACATACAATATCATTGCTGCATAAATAACTAGAGATAATAAATATAATACACATAGAAATATTTATTCATACATAAATAAATTTGCCAAGGTTGGAGGAAATGATGAGGGAAGCCGAGATAATGGAATACCTAGCCTGGTGCTGGAAGTTAGCTCTTCCTAAGTGAAACAACAACTGAGGCTAGAATAAGGGAACCAGAGATGGAAACTCAAAGCCTCAAAACTGAAAGAAGAATGACAAGTATAGGCCTTGTGGCATTAGGTAAAGACTGCTGGAAGAGGGCACCTGGGTGGCTCAGATGGTTAACCGTCTGCCTTCGGCTCAGGTCATGATCCCAGGGTCCT